TACACCTTCAAGGATGTGGTGGAAGCGTCTCAGCGCTGATGACAGTTATTGGTAGCGGTACCATGCCGCGGAACTGTGGGAGCCCTTTTGACGGCTCGAATCCACAGAATTCTTTGTTTACAACTTTCTTTTTAAGCCCTACAACCTGCACAGTGCAGGAGAGAGGGGAGGAGTGAAGGTTGTGCGTTGAAACAGTTTGCCGTGGCTTGAGATCATAAGTCACTGCCATGCTAATCAACCCGTTTGTAGCTGCCAGCATTTTGGTTTAACACCCGAGCCGTGGGCCACTTCGTTTGGTTTTTGCTGAGAGGTCATGTATGAGCTCTTACATTTCAATACAATTGAGGTTATTGTGCACAAAGCAGTATGCGCAGGTTTGGGTGCATTCATGTCCAGTCCATACCTTTCTTTTTCCAGACGGCTTTTGTGATTTGTGTAGCCCTTTGAGGTCGAGTTGATCCATTCACGTTTGATCTCGTGAAAGTAGGCACCTGTTTGGACGAGTTCAACCAATCATGGTCAATCGTGTCGTGGAACTTGTACTTTTGAGAAAACAAGCTGATGAAACGATGCCTAGCCTCTAGGTTCACAGCTTCTCTAGGTCACCAATCTCTAGGCCACTCAACCTGCACACCTAGCCTGTACCAGCCAACCTGCACCCATCTGGTTCTTCCATACGAAACCGACAGAAAAAGCTGCGGAATGGAACCCGAAGTGCTGCGGAATGAGCCGGACGTGCTGCCGGTCTTCTACTACAATGATGCGCTGCTATCGAACATTGGTGATACCATTGGAAGCTTGGCTGAACATAGTGTAACTGACCTGAAGGGGTTATTGAGAACCCCTCTGACCTCATAGCTTTGATGACTCTTGTTGCCTTCACAAGTCTGGGAGCTTTTGGAAGCATTTACGGCTGGGATCTCTGGGTGACTTTCAAAAACGTTGCAGCCAGTTTCCTTTGCCTTCGCACGCTGACCTTGTCTGAGGGCTCAACTTGTTTGAGCCGCGGTACCTCCTCATGTGCCAGCGTCTACCGATGGACCCACGCTTCCTCTTCATGCCCAATTACCAGGATCCGGCCAGAAAAACCCCACAGCAGTCAAGATAGTGATGGGTACTGATGGGTTTACATTCTTTTGGGGGCTTCCTTGCCGTTCACTTGAGGTGAACCAGTCCGGTTCCATCTGGTTCCGGATAGTATATATATATATACACTCCCGGAAATGATCGTCGAAGTGTACAATATCCCCTTGGATGACCATTCTCATTCAGAAACAGGTGGTTTTCCACTTCCACGACCAGTTCAGGGAGTGGAAAACAATTTCTTAGCTGTCCGTGGCTCTGCTTGCCCTGGGCCATGCAGGACTACCGGTGCCGCCCGGGCGATGTCGGCTTTGTCGTTCAGATCACGGGACTTTGGCCGCAGGCGACCGTGGCGGCCCGTGGGCGGTTTGGTTCTTTTTGAAGAGGTCCATCGCTTGTTCGTTGTGAATCGTAGCGTCCGAACGCTCCGAGCGATGGCGATGCACCCACCGGGCGTCACCAGACGGAAGACATCGAACGACCGTGGAGTCTAAACGACCCAAAGCCCCAGGCGCGTGGGAGCACCTTTGGAGTGCAAGGCTCTGCTGTCTCCCTGGCGGCCGTGCTGCCGGCGTCGATTGGACGAAGCGATCGAAGGATGGAGAGGCGTGAAGCGTTTCTTGGGTCTTTGGATAGTAAGCGTGGGAAGCAGATACAGTATAGCGTTCCGTCCACAGGTTGCTTGTTGCTTGGTTATATAGTGGGTCGATTCCTTGAACTCCATTTAGCCAGTTGGATCAAGGCAAGTTTTTTCTGATTGGAGCTAGCAGTGCGAGTGCAGAAGTAAGTCTTTCTAGTGTACTATCAATTCATGTCTTTGTATTGTCAGCGGTCCAGTCTATATAGTGACGAGCGTTTTCTGTGGAGATGTTGTGAATTCACCAGGGGCGGTGCCAGGTCTCTTGCACGTGGGTGGAGCCAAACACTCATGGGCTGCACTATGCCCAGTACCTGAAACTGGATGCCAAGAAGGCGATGGGCCAGGATAAACGGAATCCCATGTCTCCCGACACGCGGAAGGTCTCACGGGTGTTGCTCGAGAAGGTCAATTAGCAGGTCTTTCATGGTCATTCCACAGGTGGTTCCACCTACTTCTTCCTTTTGCTATCAGGTTGGAGGCCATCGCTCTTAGGTTCCTTGAGACCAAATTCCTTTTTCCATTGAACTCTGAGAGCCGTGGCCATCACTCGGGGCCTCGTGAACCGGGCGACGGGGCGAACATCGGTTCCCGGTTCCCGTTCGGGCAGCGAACTGAGGTGTGTAGGGGAACATGTATGAAAATAGGGCCCACTTGCTAATGAAAATACACTTCCCCTGCTATAAAAAACCGGGCCCCTACACTGTGTATTGGACATATTGTAATACTGTATAGTAAATTAAAATATGACATGCGCGCACGAATTCTTCTCGAAAGGATGGACGGAGGACTTCTCCTTTTGGTCAGAAGTCTTTTGGGCTCCGATGGGGTTTGGTCGAGGCGTCCGTTTCTCTCTCTTTTGTCGGTGCAAGGCGTCTCTCCTGCACACGGATCTGGTCTCAGAGACGGGAGATGGGGAGCTATATATATATTATATGATCACACACATACACACACACACATATATATATATATTGTTAGATATGTGAAATGTCCGCTGGTTGAGCCCTGTCCGCATCGATCGTGACCACGTGTCCCAGACTTGACACAGGTTCGATGCAACCATGATGTCTCAAGAGTCAGGGGGCTTACGTGTTGGGCGCCGGGGCGCGCCATGCCAGGCGGTATTCGTTAGGTGAGGACACCTTGTGGAGAGCTACAGGAAATGAAAATTGCGCCGGGGCGCGCTGGGTGGAGGACGAGTGACGGGAGCGTCGCGTCTGCTACCAGTGTAGGGTCCTGGAGACTCTACATTGGTAGCGGGGCTACCAGCGGCCGAATTATTGTTGACGGACACTTGACTTTCCTTTTTTGGCCTTCGGAAGCCGCTTGTGATACAGGATGCCGGACGGTGATGGACCGACATCACCACACACTGGTGGCAGCCTTTCATCGAGCTCGCTTTCACACCTCCCATGCCAGATTATTTCCCACTTCCGTCCCGGCGAGACGGATATCAATGAGTACACAAAGCGCCTTGAGTTCTTGGCTGGCCTGTGGCCCACTGAGCACTTGTCACATCTTGCACCAAGAGCAGCGATTTTGTGCGAGGGTGGAGCTTTCAAGAAGCTAATGCGTGTGGACCCCAGCAAGCTCAAAGTGAATAGCCTTGATGGAATCAAGCTGCTAGTCACCACTCTTGGTGGTGATTGGGGAAAGGCGAAGCATGAAGAGAAGTTCGAGAGATTCGAAAGGGCAATCTACACTACCGTTCAGCGCAGTGATGAAACCCATGATTTATATTTGGCGCGCCATGATTTTCAATTCGACGAACTCGCCTCGTTGAATGTGACCCTTGAGGAAACGAGGGCATACTGCCTTCTGAGGAACTCAGGACCTTTGATGGACAAGAAGAAGAAGAAGATCATCATGGACTCAGCCGGCAAGCTCGAATATGATAAGGTGGTAGCCTCATTGAAGCTGCTAGGGTCATGCTTCTTTGCAGAACTTCAGACCCCTGGCAAGAGTTCAAGTCGAACCAAAACCTATGAGACTGCCAATACGGTGGAAGAGGAGGACGCCAACCCACTGCTGGGAGAGGACGAGGCCTTCTTCCAAGACAGTTGGGACGATGAAAGCCTCCTGTACACCGAGGGCAATGAGCAGGATGCATTGGTCATCCAGCAATTCGAGGACAGCCTAGTTGATGTTCTGCAGACTGATCCGGATACTGCCTCATTTTTCACAGCTACATGGAAGCTCGGCGGGCCTATCAAAGGAGCATCCGCGGGCAAAGGAAAATCCAAAAGCAAGTTGCGATGCAGACATGATTGCGATCCCCTGTGTTGACGAGCACGGCGGTACGGTTGCGGCGGGCTCCTGTCAAGCCTGCTCAGAGTGAATTCCGCCGACGTAAGGTACTACTCTGAAGGACCACTTTGCTACGGAGGTTGTGAGTACTCCTGTTGAGGTCCCCACTGACGATGGTACGTCTTCCTGGCTAGCCCGTTGAGGCTCCTCAGGAGGATGCATCCAAAGAGAAACCTGCTGCCAAGCGTGTGTGTCGGGAACAACGTGCTCTTCCTCGTGGAGTTTCTCGCGTTGTCGCCCTGGCGATTGCTTGTTTACAGGAATGGGGCAAAGAGTTGCCTGATGAGAAAGAAGCAGATAGTTTTGATCAGTATGTCAACGTGATCGAGAAAAAGGGTACGTGGGCTGGTGCCTTGGAGCTCCTTGCCCTTGGCCCTATGTTTGATACCAGGTTCATCGTTTACTGCCTTCGCGTTCATGATGAGCCATTTGTTGTGCACCCTCGAGCCAAGAAGAAGGTTGTGGTCCTTGTCTATGATGGATTTCACTTCGATAGGCTTGAAGCAAGTACGGGTACATACAACAGCAGGTCCTTAAAATCTCTGCCCTCCACCTAAGCTTCCTGTGCGAGGCGGTGGTCGCACGTGCTCCATGGCTACCGTCTGGACTTCATCGGCTCGGGCTTAAGGTTGCGTTGGAGTCGACTGTTGATGGTGCCCCACATACTGTTTGGAAGCTCCTCTGTGGTGCGTTCCGATGGTGCTACGGTGGGCAACCTGACGGACATCCCCGCCCTCGATGATGCGCTCCACAGTGAACTTATTCCCACGGCCAAGTACCGTGCTCATGGTTCTCGCAAGTTTCGGAATATGGCCAATGGGAACTTGGAGTGGCGCTGCCCTTGGCGCCCCTTCGTTGCGTGGAAATCTTCCTCGTCACAGTTGTGCAATGCGCGCGCTTCGCATTTGGAGTGTCACCATGAAGGCCGTGGATTACCTGGTCGCATCCAGCCTATTCCTGTTGAACTCCGACGGGCCTTGTGGAAGTGTCCTATGTGTGATTTTGGCACCCCTTCTGACCAGCAGGGCAAGGGCTGTGCAAATGCGCTCAAGAGGGTTAAGCTCCAACACTGTCGCACTGCTCACCCGCGCACCTCCGCCAAAGCGTGGAATCGGAAGTGCAAGATTGAAGCGCAGACGCGCGACGCCGCTCTTCGGCAACGAGTTCGTGTGATGAGCCTCAATAGCGCAGTAAGTCGTCGGCCTCAGTCTCTGCAAGGGACGCAGTGGAATCACTTCACGACGCTGGTCCTTCGGAAAGTGCATGTGCTCGTGGTACAGCGTCATGTCGGCCTTGCCCTGAGTCTGCAGATCAACTAAATTTAGTTTATGGATGAAATCAATGTAATTGAAAAAATTAGTTGGTTTCCTACTAAATTGTTGAAAAACTAATTTTTCATTGTAAATTTCTACAAAGTCAAAACAACATATAAACAACATAGAAACAGCATAGAAACAACATATAAACAACATAGAAACAGCATAGAAAAAACATAAACAACATAGAAACAGCATAGAAACAACATATAAACAACATAGAAGCAGCATAGAAGCAGCATAGAAACAACATAGAAACAACCGCAACAGTCAACACAAAAACACCACAGAAACACAAAACATTGGCTTGGAAGTTACACGTGAAGTTGGTTTTCACAGGTAACAGACAAGAATGGTTTCCGTCACCGTCGCCTCAAATTACTTGAGAAGTGTTGCAGTATATATTTCAAAAAAATTGAGAAGTCAGTTTACTTGAGAGAGGAGCTTGTCACAACCAATTTACTCGTCTGCCTTGAGAGAAGCCAGGGGTGATATACTTGAGAAGTGTTGTTTGATCTACTTGAGGAAAGGTGTGGGAGCACTTGGTGTTGCTGTGTTTAGTTGAGAAAACTCGAATATTTTTATTGGTGTACTTTCACCAAGTTACTTGAGAAGCGTTGCGAAAAATTTACTGGAGATCAGGTACAGCTCTTTTTACTTGAGAGAGGTCTTGTGGGGTTATCGAGGTTGCTATCTTGAGGCGAGAAAATGATACATGTAAATGGTCATCTTGACAAGAACTGTTCACAAGTAAATTGCAGTCTTTGCATTTGAGCTGTTCACAAGTAAATGACAATCTTGCGAAAACACCTGGTCACGAGTAAGTCTAAGTGGCAGTCTTGGCAGTTGAGCTGTTTCACAAGTAGATGACCATCAACGCTCACAGGTAAACTACAATCTGGACAGAAGACCTGTCCAAAAGTAAATTGCAATATTGGCACAAGACCTGGCCACAAGTAGTTCTTTTCACAAAGCAAATGGCTCACAAGTACATGGCAATATTGACACAAGAGTGTACACAACAGTGACAATAGTGGGCTTATGAAAAGTGCGATCCACAAACCTCACAACAGTGCCTTGAGCAAGTGGCACCCACAAAACAGTAAATGATGTCTCAAGTAAAGTGAGCGTAGCTTTCCGAAAACATATACGAATGCCAAAAAAAGTCGTACACAGTCCAGCGCCCAAAGCCATTGTGCAATTTGACTGCAAGGAAATACAGAAGGTGGTTCACAAGTAAAAACAGCTTCACAAGTAAATGTATCCAGAGTCTAATGAACTCACAAGTGCAGCATCAGCATGTCCAGAATATAACATGGAGATAACAAAGTTGAATATGTGTGTATACTTTTGATGTGCGTTTGTTGATTTTCTGCTCATTTTCTATGTACTTTTTATGCAGTTTGTACGCAGTTTGTATGTAGTTTATATGCAGTTTTGAAAACTACATGTAGTTTTATCAAAACTACATGTAGTTTTATCAAAACTACATGTAAACTGCATATAAACTACATATAAACTGCATACAAACTGTATATAGTTGTTGAAGTTCTTTTTTGCACATTTTACCTACGAATGCAGTGGCATGTAACAGTACTCTTGAGCAAATTTTTACATAACTGTTCAACATTTACTTGAGAGCAGTTCTCCAATAATAGAATTCCTATGAATAATTTCATTTACTTGTGAGCAGTTCTTGTTGTGAAGATGCGCATTTGCTTGTGAACAGGTCTTGAGTGTCATTTACTTGTCAGATGTTCTTGTTTTGGAGATGTGTAATTTCTTGTGGCTTGTTCTTCAGTAACTTCTGTCATTAACTGGTGGGCAGTTCTTGTGAACAGTACATTGAGTGCCATCTTCAATCTTCCTACAACTTTCTGCGGCTTTTTGTTTTGAGAGTTTGTAATGTATTGTGAGTGATCCACTGCGCTCATGGCTGATGGAATGCCAAATGAATCTATGGTGGCCCAAACACCAGCAAAGTCAGAGAAAGATAGTGAGAAGCCTTCTGCCACTCCTGGTTCAGTCCTGAAGAAATCATCAACAAAGGCAAAAGCTGCTCCCAAGACTGCGCCCAAGGAAAAGGCAAAGAACAAGGTTATCAAGAAGTCAACTGTGTCCAAGCCCAAGCCACTCAAATCAGTGCCAAAACCCTTCAAGCGACCTTCAGGACAAGAACAAACCTGGCAAAGCTGGAAGGTGGGCATTGTGCCTGCGCCTGAGGAGAAGGACAAAGAGGAGGAAGCATAAGAAGAGAATGAGAAGGAGGAGGACCCAGAAGTAGACCCAGAGAAGAGCAAGAGTGCAGAGACCAGAGACCGAGTCAAGCAACAGAAGTTCACGCAGATGTTTGCTGCCAGTGAGATCCCAGAGTGGATTGCAAGGGAGCGGGGGAGTACAAAGAAGTTCAAACATGGCAAAAGAGACAAGCAAACCCTGATTGTCAACAGCCTGATTGATAGACAGGGGGAGGTTGATCATGAACACAGACAAGGCGGTTTTCAAGAACATGCGACATGTGACATGAGTCAAGTGAACAAATTTGGAGAAATCATTCTTGCAAAAACTTAAACACAGCCAACAACCACAACAACAAAACAACAAAAACAACAAAACAACAAAAACAAAACAGCGCAGAAATAACAGAAACCCCGCAAAAAAACAACATATGACAACACATTTCAACTACTTAAAAAGAACTATTTGTCTTACTAATTTAAATTACTTGTCTTACTAATTTAAATTACTTGTCTTACTAAAAAATTACTATGGTAAAACATACTTTGCTTTTTTACTTAATTTTTTACTTTACTAGTTGAAATTAAGTAAATTTTTGGCAAACTAAATTTAGTTGATCTGCAGACTCAGGGTGGTCCTTCGCCATCAGTGCACTCCATTCCATGTTCGTCGCAAGAAGGTGCTTTGTCGCTTGCGTCAGATGGCCCTGGACAAGAAGAAGGTGTTGGCTTTGAGGCGGTCTCTGCTGCATTCGCCACTTATCCTCAACAGGCACCACTTCGCCACTTTGCAGGGCGCATTCCAGCTGCATTTCGCCCCGCAGTTTGGCAGCGATTCGGCAGCGATGACGCAGCGCGGGTATAGCCCTTCGCTTTCTCCTTGCCCTTGGTGGCACTGTAATGCTGGCTCATTGTTTGGGCCACCGGGCACTCACCCAAGTCCTTCATGACAAATTTGCCTTTGCGCTCTTCCGCCATGGAGTTGACCAGCTTGGTCTTCTCTGACCGGCAAAAGGTCTTGTCGTTGAACATATTCTGCACTGTCTCTGGTAGCTTCGCCAGGAGCTTGTTGAAGACATAAAGGCCTTCTTGGGATGCCTCTTCTCCTGAGTTTCATCATCCTTGTCAGCCTCCTCCTTCTTGTCGACGTCCTCCTCCTGCTCCTCCTCACTGCTCTGAGTGAGCTGAATTTGCTTGGCCTTTTCCTCGAGCGCTTTCTTTCCACTCTTTTTCTATTTGGGGTCTTTCGCCTCTTCAGCCTTTCCATTCTTTGGCTTCTTCGGTTCTGGGCCCGCCTCTCCTTCGGCGCCCTTCTTCTTGCCCTTTTTCTCCGTGGGGCCTGTAGGCTCTGCAGCCTTTCCATTCTTTGGCTTTTTGGTTCGGTTCTGAGCCACCTCTTCTTCCTTAGCGGCAGGCCTTGGAAATGGAAAATGAAGTGGGAAACGGGACATGATCAAGACATTTTGTGGAAATGTTTGGGACAAATTGCGCGTGACAGGCGCTCAGCGCTATTGTTTTTCACCAGGAGACTTCAAGGAACTCTGAAAACCACATGAAATTTGCACAAACAAAACGAGTAACAACTCACTCTCAACCTGTGAAGCATGTCTGAACAGCGGAAATTCACATAAAAATAGCAGAACTTTGATCGGGTTTCAAGAATAAGATAATAGTCTGTTAAGATAATAGACTATTTTGAGTCTATCATCAAATAGTGTATATACTAAAATAGACTAAGACATATCCTGTCTATTCATGGGCTAAGAGGATCCACTGGGTTGGTCCAAGCTAGACTATGACATCGTTGCTCTTTAGGAGGTGAATGTCAATGGCGCCAGCGCCGTGAATTTTGTGCAAAGGTGGGGCTTCTTTGGCTTCCACTGCTATTTGGGTGCTTGTGCTGAGGACGTTCAATGTCATCGTGTGGCATTGCTTAGTCGTCTTCCACTACGAGCGATTGACTTGCAGACTGACGTGCAGGCTTCGCACTGCTTGGGGTGTGTAGCTGAGGTCCTTCACCAAGGTCACACGCAAAAGCTTTTGGTTTTGTCTTGCTGTGGGCGTGCCTCCGATGTTTCGTTGGCAAGACAGTTTGTTGCTGGCATTGTGCAGTGTGTCAACACCTACGATCTCCCATGGCTTTTGACTGGGGGCCCTCCGACATGTTTTGGTTCGCGCCGCGTTGATTTTGCATTGGGAAAGCAGCTCTCTCTGGCAGCGTGATGGTGTAGCTGATCATGATACAATGATCTATGGCTTATTTGACTGGGACAATGCGTGGCTGCGTAGGGGTGCTCCAAGCGCACTGCCTTAGACTGTTGCGCGCAAGACGAAGTGTCGGTGGCAAAAGTTGTGGTGCCAAGATGTTTTCTCTCACCTGCTGCAGGTGGGATGGGTGAACGGCTGTTGGGGCTATTTATCTTTCACTGCTGAGGAAACAGTGCGTTATTTGCCTCGAGTTAGGTGTCCTCGGGCCTCCTTGTGGACGCCAGCCGTTGTGACCAAAGGAACGCCGTGTTCACCCCAATGAGCCTGTTCTCCTTCGGCGGCTTCGGCGCACCTTGCGGAAAGGGAATCAGTTAACAATACAGTCCGACAACTCCCCTTCCAGACGGCCGTGGTGACTTCTGCTCGTGATTCTTTGTCTACCTTGTGCCCCGACTTGGCTGATATTTTTATTTTCTTAATTTATCTGGTCTTTTGCCAATGGTTGAGCTCCTTGTGGCGCAAGAACAAGCCGTCCTGCAAGAGCAGGTTCTCGAACACTGGCGGTCTCGGTCCAGGATATCCCGAGCATTGCAGTGACCAAAGATGGACGGTGCGATCTCAAAGCGCCTGTCATTTCAAGTGAATTGCAGGCGCTCCGGGGATTGATCGGAAGCCTTCAATATGCTGCCAAACGCGCGACCTGATCTTTCGCGCCGACTCAGTTGTTGCAAGCTTGAATTCCCATATATAGCTACAGTCCAAGATCTTTCGAATGGGAACAAATTGTTTCATGATGCCAAGAGGTTTTCAGAAGTCCGCATTCGGTACACCAAATCCAACTTGTGTCATTTTCAGATGCAGTTTTCGCCACTCGACAGAAGGGACATTCCCAAAAGGGATGTCTGATCTTGACGATGATCGATCAAGACGTGGCTGCGCCCACAAGCCCACTGACATGGTATTCGAAGAAGATCTCCAGGAGTAGTCGGCAGCACTTTGGCCTCCGAGATATGCTCTTTCTGGAGCGCTTAATTTGCTAAGTTGGACCTGGCTCCACTGGTCTGGTCATGGATGCTGCAACCGACTCTACCTTGGCAACGACCTGAAGAAATGTTGACCAACGTTTTGAAGGCCTTTGCTATCGTAGATTGCAAGTCTTTGTATGACTTATTGCAAAAGACGTCCATCCCGCAATACTCTGAGTATCGCACCATGTTAGAAGCTCTGATCATCAAAGATCGACTAACTAAAGGAGTAGTGGTCAAGTGGGTCCATTCAGCTGCGCAGCTGGCGGACGCACCCACGAAGGACATGGACACAACACCACTCCGAATCTTCTTGGATACGGGAACATGCAGGGTCCATGACATAGAAACCATTTTGCAACAACGTGCTGACAAGAAAGTGCGAAATCAATGGATCGCGCAAACTGCCTCCAATGCCACAGCCTCGAATGCATCGTGAATTGACAAAGAAACAAAGATATTACTTTTTAGGAGTGTGAAATGTCCGCTGGTTGAGCCCTGTCCGCATCGATCGTGACCACGTGTCCCAGACTTGACACAGGTTCGATGCAACCATGATGTCTCAAGAGTCAGGGGGCTTACGTGTTGGGCGCCGGGGCGCGCCATGCCAGGCGGTATTCGTTAGGTGAGGACACCTTGTGGAGAGCTACAGGAAATGAAAATTGCGCCGGGGCGCGCTGGGTGGAGGACGAGTGACGGGAGCGTCGCGTCTGCTACCAGTGTAGGGTCCTGGAGACTCTACAATATAAAAGTACATGTAAATATATGATCATATGCACAGGTGTACAGTGTATGACGAATTATGGAATGCCATCGACAGGAAACACTTGGAGCGATCGGTGGCCATTTTGGCAACACCAACTTGGATCAATTTGGGAGAACATTTTGCGTGCTTTCCTTGTGGCAATGAGCAGCAACGCACTTCCACAAGCTGCCGCAAATCATGAAACACATCTAGCTCCTACGTTTGCAGGTCGGAAGGCCATGATTTGCAGCGTCGCTCCGAACGACTCAGGAGTCTGAGGCACTGGTGGAGGCCATGCTGGAGAGTGGATGGGACTATGCTGCTTGGCCATGACCTCCTCGATTGGACACAGACGACGGCGAAGTCCTCACACCTTGTACGCAGCCAGGAGAACAGCCATGAGGCGTTGGATGAATGGTTCGTGCTACAATTTTTTGTTTGGATAGGAAAAAATTGCTGTTACACAAGAAAACATGTAGGTTGGAGGCCATCGCTAGTAGGTTGGAGGCCGTCATTATTAGGTTGAAGGCCATCACTACAAGGTTGGGAGTTGGTTGGAGGAGATTGTCTCGGGCTCGTTTCACGAAGGTCCTGCGATCGCTCTGAGGCTCCGGAGAAGGTCTGCGAGCGGCACCTGCGGCGCGCAGAGGCACGATTTTCAGACGCCTATCGGGCAGAATATGTTTTTTGTTTAAATTTGTTTTGAGTGCTTTACATGGGCCGGTGCTCTCATCTTTGTGAAGTTTCATCTCGCCACCTTGGGGTGCCTACGGTTAAAAATGGTAAGCATCGTGTACAAGAAACCAATGTGTTTGTTGATGTTTGATGCCTATGAATCGACTCTTCGACAGCGTATCGACAGGTGGGGGCTGATGTGTTTTTCAGCTCCAACTGGCCGGACCGGACCTACGTCATGGCCTTTCTTGGTGGCCCAGACGCTGAGAGGTGCGGCTTGGGTTGGTGCCCATTCCGTCCGGGCTTGGTACCCCCGCTTTTGCCACGTACTTTCGCAAACGATGCGCCAAGGAGCCTACCTTTGCGAACAATTGAGGGGTGGGGGTAAGTCAGCCAAATGTTTTTTGGGGACTATGAAACCTGATCATTAGACGCACAAACTTTGAGCAGGGGCCCCTCTAAACATCCAAGAGACATGCACAGATATGGTGAAGAAACAGGAGAACCAGGAAGAACCTTTGTGTTGGTATGATCCACTTGACTTCACATTTTCACCATCCACTTGGTTCCCATACCCTCAGATCTCCCAAAAACGCATCCCCCCCATCAGCCCAGTCCCCGTCTTCTGCTCGTCCTGCTCGAGGGAGCTCATGGACTGCTGGTCTGCGGCGCTCCCCGCGTTGGTGCAGCCGCGCTTCACGGGGCTCAGCTTTCGAGACCAGGTCCGGGCGCCCTGGTGGACGGTGGAGGCACCGGTGGGTCTCACTGGGTGGGAGACTGGATTTGATGGGAATAGCAGAGCTGATAGAGCTGTTTCATGCTGTTTCGAGAGGAGAAGGTTTTTTGAGCTGCATAGTCCGGAAGCGATTTTTGTACTGCTGTTGTCTTAGCCTTCACATATGTAATTACTCAGCATCCAGCTTCAAAGATCCCATGCTCGAGCTGTTGGCCCCGAGGCCGTGCATCGCTTCAGCGCATTGGACCAGGGCGTGCGCCTGGATGAGGCCTTCCGCGCCGCGCCGAGCTGAGCGCCGCCCTTCGATTCGTCGGTGGCTCGTCAATCCGCAGGTGATGGAGGAGTTGCGGCAGGCGATCGTCGCGGACCCGGAGGCCATGGAGCAGTTGAAAGGATGCTCGGTGCTAGTTGGTGGGTGGGTGGGTGGTTGGGGTGGAAGGGGTGGGTTGATGTGTGTTGTGTTACTATTTTTCATTAGCTTGTGGCGCGAGGGTTCTCCACAGGTCAATTTGATCTCAGCTCTAATCTCCAATCTGCCAACGCCGCTCCTCCCGGCCTGTCCTTGAACCGTATGCCGTATGCCATTCTTCAGGGGTTTACGGGCGCCAACAACATAGAAAATAGAACCTGTAAGTTGTGCATTAAAAAACTGTACAAAACATAGGAATTGAATATTTATTGGGACTCACCCGACTCACCAAGCCCAGCTGCTCGCCCACCGAGGAAAGGAAAGTGCTGCGGATCCCTTGGGTCTTCCGAAGGACCGGTCCCACCTACTAGCGATGGACTCCAACCTAGTAGCGGCAAGAAACACACAGCAGTGTCACATCAGGCTCTCAAGTTGGAGAGAGCCTACCAGCAAGTTGATTGGATTACGTTTGGCGCCGCCGTCATCCTTGGAGTTGACCCTTTCTGTGATCTCTCCACCCCACGGCATCATTGGCTTGCGATGCAAAGTCGAGCGATAGCACTGGACAAAGAAACTTGCGTTCCACTGCTCATTGGTAACCCGTGCCTACATCTCGTGCTTCAGAACCTGTGGCCTCGTTGGTTGGGCGACCTCCGACTGGCGCGGCTCTTCCGAATGCCTGTGAACTTCCAGAAAAGGGTGAACTTGGAGCCTGAACTGGTGAAGTTCGGTTTCTTGCCCCAGAAATCTGGGTGGAAGACGGGAGGTGCTGAAGGGGAGCTGGTCCAACTCGATCACATTCTAGCAGCTCGGGGCCACATTGGACGAGTCATTCGGGTGCAACAGTGTCGGGAAATCCTTGGGTGGACAAACTTGCTTAGGTCATTTTTCTTCCCTTCATGAGGAGCAAACAGATAACTCCTGTGGACCGGCAGTTCCTTGTGGCCAGACCCGAACTCCTGTTTGACAGCTTTCCGACTGCGGACATGATATAGTACACGCACGCACATGACATCATTCACCACATGCCATATCTTTACAAGCGAACTGAGTTGGAGACCCTTTGAGTGGATTTGCCCAAACGACCGGTTTGCCCATCAATGGACATCAATGGACCGGTTTAGCCCATCCCGAGGTTACCGTGAACAGTGGGCGGGTGAGGCACGGAGCTGAGAAACGGCGCGACGAGCTGAGGCGCACAGAAGCTGTTGGCAGAACCGCACCCTACCAGGACTAGTGGCGATGGCCTCCACCCAAGTAGCGATGGTCTCTTTCAAGAAACTTGTTGTGTTTTTCTGTAATAGGACAACCTCGCGCATACCAAAATCCATTGGTTGGAGGGTTTTAGTCCCGATTCCCGATTGCTTGGTGATAGAGTTGGGGAGCACCAACAATGGGCCATTGGTTTTGGTCTCCAAAATCCCCGTTGTTGAGAGCTACTCTTTAAGGCGATTGCACCGGCACTAAGAATGATACTGTATATTGGGACGCGTCCTCCAGATCCCTAGAGGCATGGTTGACCATCAGTCATGTTGGGTCCTTTGAAACGATGCTCCCCTGAAACCCTGCGCTGAGCATGCTGTTGATCCAAACGTTTCGTAGCTTGGCGCCAGCAGCAGCTCAGGGTCGTCCGAAGACGTCCGTTGGGGTCTTGGTGACCAATGAGTCCAACGCAGCATCCTGAGGAACTTCCTCTTGCAAGAAACGCTTGGCATCTGACATTTTCTCTTCATCTGACATTTTCCGTTCTCCTTGGATTCATCTCAAATTGTTTGTCGTTTCGAACACGCAGTGAGTCTGCCCACCCTTCTGATTGTGAAGAAGCAGACACTGCTGGGAAGACCTGTTGGATCTTCACATCTTTCGACGATTTGTTGATCGTTCCATTCCTTGCCAAGGTTGAACTTTGGACGCGGACTCAGGAGAGGGTGAGGTTTGACCAGGGACTGGTGTGCGCCGCGAGAAGGGTTTTCTGAAAGGGTCATGGCATGGCAAGGCTGCGGCCGACATGAGTGATCTGTCCTCCAGAGCCAGTTCTTTGCATTTCCACAGCCTTTGGGTGGTGTTCATGCCAAGATAAGGGAGCTTCCCTGATTTAGGAGTATTTTTAAGAGGTTGCGTCGGTGCGTGCTATTGCGCGACCTCCTTCTACTTGTATCATTGTTGTTGGAACATCCTCTACCACGAGCGGCCTTATGGTCCGCCCGGGAGGTGGAGGTTCCCTCACCCGAATGTTCTGTGTCTGCCCGATATGCGGCATAGATGTGGTCTGTGGCTAAAAGGTTTTGCTGAGCATCAATATACACTATGCCCAAAGTTCAACGCATCTGCCATTTCAAAGAGACACTGGGTGTAACTCAAAAAGACATCCGTCCATAGAACCCAAGTTTGGGCGATGGCGACCTGGAGGACCTCGAAGTGACAACGGAGTCCGCCCAGTTTGCCAGTGCAAAGCTTGTCTGGAAGCTGAACAGGCCGAACTGGGCGATATGCTATGGCATGGTATATTATGAAACAATGAACATGAATATCACATTTTGATGAAACATTCAAACATGCTGAAAGTGTGATGTTCTGAATTCGCAATTTGCTGGCCTGTTTGGAATGTCAACATCGAAGACATCGAGTCTTTCAGACCTTTGAGTCACGTCAGCAGTCAGTACACTGAGAACTCTTTGGCGTAGACGAACTCGCTGCGGGACGATCAGGCTCGAACTCGCTGTTGTGCGTAGCAAAGTACCTAATACTTACCCTTGAAATCATGGCTCGCTCTTCGTGGAAGGTTTTGAGCGTGGCTGCTGCGCTGATCGCTTTGTACAACGTTTGCAACAGCTGGAGTTTTGTGCCCGGGCCCTTGAGAAAGCATGCGCCTGTGGCAGCTGCATCCGCAGCTGGCATGATGATGGCTCCAGCTGCCTTTGCCGATGAGATTGGCGATGCTGCCAAGAAGCTTGGTGATGCTTCCTATGACTTCGCGAAGGAGGTGGACTGGAACAACGGCATCTTTTTGCAAGCTCCAGGCAAGTTCCAACCTCTCAAGGCTTTGAAGGCCATTGACAAGATGATTGACATGGGAGCGGCAGCAGACCCCAAGCTCTTGAAGGCAGCGGCGGAGGCCCATCATAAGGCCATCGGAAGCATCTCGGGACCCAACGGTGTGACTTCCCGGGCGGATTGGGATGCGGTGAACGCGGCTCTGGGCCGTGTTGTGGCGTCTGTCCCCAAGGCAAAGGTCATGGACGTCTACAATGCCGTGAAGGACATCACTGACCCCGGTGTTCCTGCATACATGAAGTCTTTGGTGAATGGTGCGGACGCCGAGAAGGCATACAAGGGCTTTTTTTGGAGTTCAAGGATGTGGTGGAAAAGAGCATTGGAGTTGATTCAGATTTATTATTGAGTATTGAATATTTGGACTTTCTCAGAATTTTCACATGGTCCTCCGTTTGTGGTGTTTCTATTCTTGGCTTCTTTTGGAATAAAGACCTCAACCAAATCCAAGGAGCCAGGTGACTGCAGTTGGTGCTCCTGCCACTGTGCCCACTGGGGACAAGATTGGCGTGGCTGCAAAGGCCCTGTCGGATGCATCTTACCCTTTCTTGAAAGAGGTGCAGGATTTCAAAAAAAAACTTGCGGTCGTTAGAACTCAATGTTTCTCATGATTTTCCTTGGAGAAACTTCACTTACTACCCATGCCGTATGCAATGGGTTTCCTTTACCCAGCATGCTGGGTTGTTAACGTTGTTTGTGTGCGCACTGAGGTGGACTGGCTGTCCGATGTCTACCTGAAGCCGCTGCCAGACACCACGGCCCCCAAGGTGATGAAAGCCATTGACAAGATGATCGTGATGGGCAGCCAGATGGACGGAAACCTGTTGAAGGCTGCCGCTGAGGCCCACCACAAGGCCATCGGCAGCGTCGATGCCAAGGGAGTGACGTCTGCTGCAGACTATGAAGCTGTGAATGCAGCCATCGGACGCATTGTCGCATCGGTGCCAAAGGCCACTGTGATGGATGTGTACAACTCGATGGCCGCAGTGGTGGATGGATCCGTTCCCAACAACATGTTCTCCAAGGTGAACCCTCTTGATGCCGTTGCCGCTGCGAAGGGCTTCTACACCTTCAAGGATGTGGTGGAAGCGTCCCAGCGCTGATGACAAGTTTTGGGGCGCTATCGCGTCGAGTTGTCGGACCTCCATATCCAAAATTGTTTATTACAACTTTGTTTTTGAACTGTACAGATAGCGGTTGACGACCATTTTGTGCCTTGAAATAGCATGATGGGGGCTTCAGATTTACTGCATTGCACCTCTATGTTTTGAATGCCTGTCCTTGAGGAGTTGCTTGAAGTTCTTTTGAGCATGTTGGGCTGAATTATCAGGAACTTGTGGTGCGGCATGTTGAGAAGTCTATAGATATTTCAGTGGTTCTGGTTGCGCTTCCAGTCTCTAGGCTCCGGCTGTGCGTGGTTCAGCGCGCACGTTCGGGAGGGCAACGCCCATTGGCAGCGCTTGAGGAGAGGGTGCTGGCACAGCTTGGGGCCGTCGCCAGACCCGAAGAAGGTCAGCAAGCAGAGGAATTAGGATAGGCATGGATGGGAAGCATGGATTTGGTAGATGGGCTGTGTTACAATGGATAAGATGTGGACAAACCGATGCCACATGGATAGAGTAGGTTTCAATTCATCGAAACCTGATTGTTCCTCCCGACACCTTCGAGTTGTAACTCCATGATGCGAGGATGATGTCTCGCGCTTGGTGTGCAGTTTCGTGCCACGCCTGCAGTCCAGACGCCCATTTCCCCAGAGCAGTGGAAAGGGTAGCTTCTTGTTACTAGTAGTAATGCCCTTGTTACTAGTGGCGATGCCCTTGTTACTAGTAGCGATGCACCTTGTTACTAGTGGCTTCTTGCTACTGGCAAGAAATTGAACAGTGAACATCGCCAAGCGTGGTGGAACAACTATGTTTTAGAGGTTCTGAGGACACCCTCCCACTGTGCATTCACTCCCATCAGGTGGCCACTGCAGTGGTTGAGGGCCTACAAAAGGCCTGAGTGATTGCTGAGCAGCGTTTCCGAGCAACACCGAAAACAGTTTTAGCACGCTTTTTGTATTTTTTTGTTTATGGCTAGGTGTCAGGTTTGTTTGAGGTAATGTTGCTGGGATCCAAGTTATCCTTTTTTCCGCGAAGGATGGCCATTTCACTGATCTGGGTATCAGCAGGGGATGAAGTTCCAGAAAGTGAAGCAACACAAAACATTTGCTTTGGCCTTTCATTCAGAACGCGCAACGTATACAGCACCCGGACATCACCAACGACCGCCGATGAACCCCCCGTGAAGACCAGCCCAGATCGGTTCCCAGATCACAAGCAGCTGGGGAAACCGTGTGGACATGTGTGGACGCTCTTCGCGGGAAGAGCCGCTCGGCCCGTTGTCACGGCGAATCTCGGTCCGTGGGTAGCCAGGAAGATCAGGAGATTAAACACTCCGACGGAGGAATCTTGCATCCGACGGGAAGTTTTTTGTTGGATATATTGTTTTTTCTTTTCAACATTTGTTTTAAACATTTTTTTTTCTGGTATGAGCGAACATTTCAGGGTCCCACGAGGTGCAACATGTCTTTGCTCAAGTGATCACTTCGTATGAACAGAAAGCTATTTCAAACTTCAACTCCTGATCTCACATAATTTTTGGGTTCAACAGCCTAGAGTCTAGAGGTCAAAGCTTCCAGATCCTGGTCACTTTGGCTGCTGATCTTGTCGCCTGGTGCAAAGCCCGTCCAGCGGACAGCGAGCCAAAAAAGGTGGGCCTGGATCCGGGATGATTGGATGTTGCATGCTGAAATCTTTCCATAAGTTTGGAAGATTGAACTCTAAACAACCATATTAATATGGCAGGTGTTTTTGCAAACCGCAGATGCAGATCCCAATCCACAGAACATTCCAACTCATGTGTGCGCTTATGTCTGCTTGGTCGGCTCGAAACAAGTATAGTTTAGATAGGATGCAGAACAGAAAGGCATCGCACATGATTGGGAAATGAGGCAAGAAGTCAGGGCAAGAAGTCCTCCTTCAGCTAGGAGCAAGGAAGCTACGAACACAGCCTCCAGATGTCAAGAGGCAAAGCTACGTATCAAAGAGTTTCACGGCATCTCACTGAACATATGAGACACCCAAATAGGCTAATTAAGCGGGAGTTCCAAAGCAGTGGCGTTGAGACACACCTTTGGAATTGGCAGTGTTTCTCTTGCATTCCAATCCACTTGTATGACATACATCCCACCCATGTCTCGTTTGATGCTTCCATTTGCTTCGTTTCGCTTCTGGGGGCCGTCGATGGGCTGACCATGGAGGCCGTTTCGGCAGCGGCAGCGGCACCGACATATCTCAGCCACTCCATGTATGGAATATTTAGTATACATTCACCCTGACCCTAACGGCCCTGTAAGTAAATATTCCATACATGGATGGTTGGGGTATGGATGTGGATCTTATTTAATAAGCTCCTAGAACAGAAGAGGGAAGTAGACCAATACCATTCAATACCCATCGGGCCATGGCTCTCTACTTGAATTCACACCCATATCATCCCATGCGGATGTAGCTCAAACAAATTCCCATTTCCGTCACAGGAGGTTCTAGTCTATAATATATGTTTACCTTTTGCCGGTGGGTTAGGGTATACCCTTTTGTATCGCACACGACGAATTCGCAAGATTGGGTCTGCAGCTTCCGATCACCACAAATCCCTGCAGATTTGACCATTGACCAACATCGCGCAGAGGTGCAAGGACATGAGGTGCATTTAACAAAACACTTTCTTAATCAGCTGGATTGTTTGCATGTCCTTTCAGTCCTGCAAGGTCGTCCAAGTGTTTGAATTGAGATATTTAGAATGATCTAAAGTCCAAAACTGACTCAGCAATCCAAGTTCTGACTTGGGATGACCGGGCTGTCCAAGCTGTCCGGGCTGTCCATATGCTTAGAGGACCCTTCTCTCCACTAGCGCCGAGAATGCGAAGCGCCGAAGACGACCGCGATTCACCGCGATCACAAGAAGCAACTCTTTGACCAATCCATCAAGGACCAGACCCCAAAGCCCCAAAGACCTCACCCTATGAACAAGAAAATACAAGAATCAGATAATCAGACAAATGCATCCACCTGACCAACAGAACTCCGAACAGACAACCGAGGCCCGCACAGACGCACGGCCACCCCAACCCAATTCGCCCCCGAAAGGCCAGAGCCGTTTTCCACGCCAAGGAAACCGCCCCCGACCTCGTCTGCGGAGCGAGGCCTTCGCGGGTTTGGGCCTGGTGGCCGCGGAGATCTTCCGTTACAATCGCCAGAACTTTGCCTTCGACCAGGACCAGCGCTTCAACCGTGACGCGGAGGATGGTGGTGTGCCGGGCCAGCCGCGGGACTGGGGAGGACACGGTGGTGATGCGTGTGCGTGGGGCAGTGGTGGAAAGGAAGATCAGGAACGGGGGAAGGCTGGGAAGGAAGACGAATCTGAAAGAAGACATGCAGGTTGACCGACTTGAATCATGCCCATGGCAAAAACCTTGGTGTTTGTTTGACCTTCGATCCTTGATGTCCATTTCATTGCTCTCATCCACTCGTGCTTTTTCCATCGGACTTTGTCCAGCGACCACTCTCCCCATCCCGCCCACTCCGTCCCAACAAAAAGGACCGACGCACGCCCCAAAAAAGCGAACCTCGCTTCTTGACGCCGTCTATGTTGTGGGACCTCTGCTGCGCGGGAGCCGCGCGCGAGCTCGCGCATATACGGCTCGCCAAGGCGATGAGCTGCGCTTCAAGATGCAGGTGGAGCGCTTCCGGCTCTTTCGGCAGGACATCCGGGACCTGGTGGAGCTCACCGTGGGGAAGATGGACCTCTATCACATGGTAGGCCACCGGGACCCCCGGAGGGCAATGGGCGCACGGGTCGGCACGGTGCTGGAGCGGCACGGTGAACGGAGGCAGTGCGGAAGACTCGTAGGGTTGTTCATCAGTGATCAGTGCATCATAATTGGTTTGATGGTTTGGTGGTCCAATCAGGATCTGGTGGACAGACATTCGAGGATCTTCGCGGATCTTCAGTCGACCCGGACCCTTCAGTTGAGGCGCTTTGTTCATCCGCATGATCAGCATCTACTACTCGGAGGGCTTTTTCGCGGAGCCACCGCCCACCTTTCTCCAGGTGGCCTACTACCTTTCGCAGGCCCTTGGGTTGATGGGGTTTGGTGATAAAGATGGCAGAGGAGACATGACCATAGGCCGATGCATGCAAGATCTTCAGCTCCCCAGAACTTGTAGATGACCATAAATGACCCTCCCATGGGTCTAAGCCAACGACTTCCAATTCCCTTTTGACTCATCCGCCGGGCCGACCCATGGGCCGAGCCATCCAGATGCAGATCCACAGAGGCCTGTGCTCTGGTGTATTTGCTGATGGCCATCTGGCTCTCGATGCACGCCTCGATCAAATCTCATAGCTACGCCACGCGGCTCCTCACGAGGCATCACGCCGCTCCACCCGGACGACGCCGCTCGAGCGCCGAGCGGGGATGAGGTGAAACGGCGGCCATGTTCCGCGGAAATTTCCAGTGCTGCGACGACTTGGGCGGTCAGTCAGAGATGGGGGCACCGGTATTTTAATGATCATGGCTTGCAGTACCCATGGATTTTCCAAGTGTGAGACATGTGGATGTTCCTTTCCAGATGGTAGTTGAGGGAAGTCTCATGCAGACTTTCCTGAAAGTTTGGTTTGTCTGCTCTCGAGTCTGACTTGGTTGTTATCCTAAGATATCCTAAGCTTTGATGATTGAAAGGCCCCTCAGAGATCTTACAGAACCGCACAGGTTCGTGCGCTTGCCCATCCCTGGCTGCGATCAAATCAACCTCCTCAATGCACGCTACGCGGACTTCGAAAAGCAAGGTGGACAGATGCTGCGGGTTCCATTCTTTGTTCGAGGACACGAAGCCGAAGAAGCCGACGCAGATGCTGCTATTTGTTGCTCCACACTAGCTCCGCAAAGACTCGGAGTTCGTGCGAGACTCGGGAAGGTGTTCTTTAATTTCTTTCTTGCAGGAGATGTTCTTTCACTTGCAGGTGCAGTTTAAGCCTTCGACCTAAGATCAGATCGACTGTAGTTCCCTAATTGTGGGGCACAAGCACTATAGCACGACTATTTGTCACTCTTTCTGTCGGATCAGGAGATAATCGATGGGAAGAACGAACTGAACAGGTGGGCCCTGGGCCTTGGGTGGGCCAGAGTGATGTGCTCCTTTTTCATCTCCCAAGTCAGGGAGACCATACTTCTTGCGTCACGTGGATTGATGTGAATGGTCCCTGAAACGCTTCTTCCGACGGGGACGGGGTTAACATCGACATCCCATAACCCATCAAGGCACGGCCCATGGGGATTGCCCTTGTGAGGAACAAGAAGCTACTAGGAACAAAGGGCATCGCTACTAGGAGCAAGGACGCTACTAGTAGCTCCTGGCCTTACTACTAGGAACCAAAAAGCTACTAGTAACAAAGGGCATCGCTACTAGTAACAAGGGCATTACTACGAGTCGCAAGAAGCTTTTTGGCGTTTGACTCGGTGACGGTGACGTCGTCTGAGCTCACTCGTAGATCATTGAACTTACATACTCAGCCGTTGGCATGCTGAACCACATCAGGAGAACAGGCCTTTTGATGCAACGATAGAGTTTAATGGGTAGACAAGTAAGACATAGTAAGACTTAATAAGAACTAATAAACGGCATGTGTTTGTCATCAGTACATAATACTTATGATATCTTATAATATGTATATATAACATATATGCATAAACTCTTTATCATTATTGTCAATAGAGATGAGGTCTCAGTATAGCTTCTATATAGGTACTTGCCATACCATTTTGGCTCAAGT